AAGCGAAAGTCATTTTATGTGAGTAAACTTGGAAGGCTACAAGCTTGAAATAGAGGACAAAAGTTCACAATTTTCAATTTTACAAAGTTGGAACGGGCCGCAACCTTTGTAAATCGCAACAATAATATTCGCAAACTGCTGTTTATTTGTGCATCCCAATCACTGTCCACTTTTAATTGACTTCAGTAACAGGCTTACCCTGTGGGCAAAGTCCTCTCGTATTTCTTCTCAGCACGAGAGAGACTCTGCAGAACTTGTGTATATTCTTTGTGGAGCCGACAATCCAAAAACTTGGATAATTATGAGTAATTTCAGGTTTGATACCAGTTTTATAGCTGGTTTTGATCCGAACCGGAAACTACTTATTAAATCTTCTTCTGGGAAATAGCCAGTTGCTTAGCAACCTGTGCGCATGCTCAAATGAATTTATACACAAGTTCTGAAGAGTCTCTCTCGCTTCTCCGTGCCGTGCCAAGAAGAAATACGAGAGGACTTTGCTCACAGGGTATAACAGGCTCTATTTCAAGCATCGAACCTGACACGCAAGCTACCTTCAAAGGGCCTATTTCAGTATTTGGCAACTTCTGTTGTGGTTACCCAGCCTGAGGCAAAAGTAATAAATTTTGAATTGTTCTAATTGTTCTGTGAAGTGCACATATTTTTCCTGCAGTTAGGGACCAGTCCTTATTTATGGAAGAGGGAGGGGGAGGCAAAAGGTGAGGCCATGACCCCATGAGTATAAATACTTTACTAGAAGGGGGGGGGGCATTAAATTTTTTGAGAAAATCAGTTGAAGGGTCAAAATGTGGAGATGCAATCAATTTGTTTAAGCCTGGTTTCCAGTGTCCTCGAAGTTGGCCTAAGCCAGATAAATCCAATAAATGATATCAACCTCGTACCCAGGGCTTCTGCGCTTATACACTGCTTTCAGAAGAGAGAGCAATAAGCGCAGAAGCCCTGCGCAGAAGACCTTATTTTAATAGCCCAGCGACTAAACGCTCAACAGAGCGTCTTGTTATGCTTATAATTTGATTATTCTCAACTGCTTTGAGTTAACAACACGCGACGAAAACAGGTCTTATTCAAAAGAGATCAATTATAACTTCAGGGTCGGTTTCATCGAGTTGTTCGTACATTCCCATAAGTAGAGAGTCTTTTGTTTTACGGCACGCTAACTTGTTCGAAGCAATTATATAGCTTGTCAGATGAATTCAATAATCAATAGAATACGGTATTATGCTTGATTTAAATTTGAAAGGCTATACTTTTTTATACACACTTGGAGTGACACTGCATGCATGTATAGTGCTATGGCAATTATGCATTCAAATCCCTACCTGTCAAATCCCAACAGCAGCTTGATTTCTAAATTCTCGTCGAAAGCAGAAACCCTCTTCTCTCAAGAGGCATTAGCGAGTTTAGCAAATAAACCGGCAACGTCAAAGGAGGCTATAAATGGTATATCCTTGAACATTCTCCTGTGTTACGCCGTAGTTGTTCAAACTGCTGCGTTATTTAGATCATTTTCATGGTTAAGGGGTTTGAAATGCAGTGTTTTATGTGAATTCACGGAACTTTAAAGAGCCAAATAAAGTTTAGTAGTATACAGGGTGTATCATAAAAAACGGAGTCCATCTTTTGTACTTAATAACTATCGGCCTGCTATATTTAATAAAACGGTTTTAGGCTTATTTTAAGGCCTGCTCATTTATCTTTCGAACAAATGGTCATCCGTGTCTTTAGTGCAAG